AAAGTAGTCAATCAAATCGTTCAAAACACTTGTACTTAATATAGCTGAAACTAGTCAATCAAATCGTTCAAAACACTTGTACTTAATATAGCTGAAACTAGTCAATCAAACCGTTCAAAATACTTGTACTTAATATAGCGGAAACTAGTCAATCAAGTCGTTCAAAATACTTGTAATTAATGTAGCTGAAAGTAGTCAATCAAGTCGTTAAAAATATTTGTACTTAATGTAGCTGTCAACTGGCAGTTAACGAAGTTCTTCCTCGTTTGTCGAGTTGTCACAGTTATACATGTTCAACCCACTTTACTTGATACTAAACGTGTTTAAGCGCAAAGCCATACAATGAGCCATACCCACTGTGGATATCGAATCCGATTTTAAGGGTTATAAGCCCGAAGCTTGCTACAAAGTCGTCAAGTGGATGGGAATGGTATTAAATAAACATCGGAGATTTTAATACTAACTAAACATATAAATGGTTCATTCATAATTGGAAAACTAGATTTTACACACTGCGAAATGAGGTAATAATAAATAACACTGATGAACAGAAATGCTAATTTAATGTTTTGTTTCTCCAGTTTTCTTCCAAAGATACATACACACGAGGACTATTTTTGCATAGCCGTCGCAATTAGTCACAAGCGATCACCGCAAACTATTGCCTGACTGAAAAGTGAGTTTAACCGTCATTCTTATAGCACATTTATGGCCCGATAGTGGGGAGCGCTATCGTGTTACTGCTGGATACGAACCACGAATTCTCGGATTCACAGTGCAGGCACGCTTACCACTACTCCACGCCTTGCCCAAAAAGTGGCATAGCAACTAGCCTATTTACATGGTTCTTTCTATGCCCTTCTTAAAATTGAACGTGCAAGCATTACATTTTTTGCATGTTTTGATGGTAAAGTGACCTTCAACCGGTTAATCTAAACGATACTCTAAAGCAACGCAAACCTCTCCAATAACTATTTCCCCCGCCCCCCGGCTCATTTCATGATGTAAACACTGGCCATATGGAAGAAATATTGAAGTTAAAGAAAAGTTCAGATTTATTGTATCATACTAAATAACTTGTTTACAGTCGTGGCCAAACCACACACACACACACACACAACATATCAAAATTCAAACTCCATATTATAAGTGTAATTAATCGTATGTCAACTTTAGGCCTGCTTGACCTCTGTACTGTACCACAAGTTGACTTGTATGATTTCTTGAAGATTTACAATATTTGTGTATGGCAGAACGAATTAGTACGTTTATATATATATATACTTGAATTCCTAAAGATTATGTTAAGGTTGCTGACCTTAGCTAAGCTATATAATCTTACAGATGAGTAAGTGAACGTTGTTTCAGCTAATGGAATGATTATAGCTAATGCCATAATAAACATATAGGAACAGTAGGGATATTAATATCGAAGAATAAACGTCTCGGATGTTCAACAAACAGGTTACAATAACTTATAATATACTCTATTTAATAATTTTGTAAAAACGTTTTTCTGATAAATCGGTTAAACTACATTTGTTGTACTGTAACTTGTACAGCTATATATTTTAAATCATGCAAGATCAACAGAAAAAGTTAGCATGAAAAAAAAAAGAAAAAACGAAACAAGTAATTTCAGAAAATCCAATTCCCAAAAACACTGGGGTTATTGGGTTCCTTTAAATTATAAACAATCATTGTCCTGAGCACTGTTTGTTTGAAGTTAAGCACAAAGCTACACAATGGGCTATCTGTGCTCTGCCCACCACGGGTATCGAAACTCGGTTTTTAGCGTTGCAAGTCCGCAAACTTACCGCTGTGCCACTGGGAGGCCTGAGCACTGTTACACTTATAGTTAAATTTAACATGAGACAGAGAATGTTAAC